TTATTATAGGAAATAAATTTTTCGTAAATATTTCAATTTAAAAATAATTTAAAATTGTAATGCAATTATATCATAAATTTAAAAAAATATTATATTATATAATATAATATATATATTGAATTATAAATTATATGTTGTTATATTATTTTTATATTTTTATTATGATTTTATAAAAAAAAAATGTTTTTTATTTACAGATACAAGACTGTGTTATGCTGAAAGTAAGATTTATCTTCAAAAAATGTTGACAGTGATGTGCCCAAGCTGTCGTCACCGATTTCCAGCTCCAGGTTGTTGTGAACCTAAAAATATGAATGAAGATAATACTCTAATTCATCCAACAACCTGTTACTATGGTGGCCTGCTAGTTCCTAAGAGTTATACTAGTGGTGGTGGCTGTTTTATAAATGCACCAACTATAATTCATACGCAACCAGTTATCAATTCCTTCAACTATCCATCAATGACACTTGATTTGGAAAAACCAAGAACTGATAAACAAAGGGAAGATTTCCTTCAAAGATATGAAAAAAATACACAAGTTCTTGGATTTCCATTAATCAATGAAGAATTACAAAAGAATCAAAGTTCTGGATGTCAAATTACTACAAGCTGTGACTTAACTGGAGGAAGTGTAACAATAACAACACCAAGTATACAATCTGGAGGCTGTTTAATTCAAAGTATGGATTCTGAAACTCTTATGCATACACCACATATGGAAATCCGTCCAAAATTATCTGGTGGAGGATGTTTTGTGCAAAAAACATTATCAACTGAAAATCAAGAAGTTTCTGTTATATCTCATGAAAAAAAAATTCAACAAGAAAGTGTGAGTCATGATAAAAGGATGTTTTTAATACCTCCAAGTGGCTGTCAAGAATTACCAGGGACTCGAAGAAATATATTATCACAAAAAATAGAAGAAGCAACTTCGCTAGAAAATTATGAGGAAAAGTCAATTTTCTCAGATTTTCAAATGAATGTGCCAGTAATGCAATTTCAACAAGCTAAAAATTCTAAAACAAATGAACATGAATTAGAACAGAGCCGAAATTTCAACTGTTGTTGTAATAATGTTCAAAAGCTTTATCATGTTAAATCAAATAATCTTCAAGTTTCGGAAAATCGTAATTCTATGGTTTTAGATTCTAATCCAGGAGTACAGATTCAAGTAAATGCGACTGTGCAACTTCCAGCAAATTTAGGACAATGTACAGTAAATATAACTGCAACTACTACAAATTCTCCTGATTCTTTGTCAAGTATAACTTCAAGAAGTAGAAACAATTTTAATGGTGGAGGTTTAGTACAGAAAAATGAAACTCAAAATAATGAAGAAAATTTTGATGAAAGAAGAGATAGAACTCCAACCACACCAGTTTCTTGGTTAATGCCATGTCCTTGGAGTTTTGACAACTATATGATGGATAGGGATGCAGCTAGATTAAGTGAAGTTAAAAGACTCTTACAAATCTGTGGTTGGTACCATGAAGGTCTTAGTTGGCAGCAAAGTGAAAATTTGTTAAAAAATGCTATGATTGGCAGATGGCTGATGAGAGATAGTTCAGATAGTAGATATATGTTTGCTGTGTCTGTGCAAACTGCTAGAGGACCTACCTCTGTTAGAGTTCATTATTTTGTGGGACAGTTTCGATTAGATGCTGAACCTAGACTTGCTTTTGCAATTCCTCTTTTTGATTGTCCAATTAAAATGCTAGAATATTATGTGGAATATTCAAAAAGTGTTGATGAACAAAGAAAAGAAGTTTGGGTAGATTATAGTGGACAACTTTATAGTGAAATTTATTTGACAAAGCCTTTAGTTAAAGAAGTAAGGTCTCTTAGTCATTTGGCCAGGTTAGTTGTTAATAGGAATAAGTTACCTACAAAACATTTGCCACCGTTAATTAGAAATTATTTAGCAGAATATCCATATAGTCTTTGAAAAATAATGCATGAGATTTTTCTGATTTCTGGATTAATAATTTATAAAATTTAAAAATTTTTATGTACTAAATAATAAATTAATTTAAAATAATATTCATCAATTTATGAATTTGAGTATATTCCAATAAAATTTCTATTTTATTTATTAACAATAAATAAAGATATTTAACAAAATAATTTAATTTAAATATTTACTATAATTTTATATAAATATAAATTATTAAAAGTTTTGTTCAATTAATTCTAGATATCAGAAAAAACTCGAAAATATAATTATTTTTATACATTTTAAAACAATGTGAATCAGAATTTGTAGTAAAAATGATATATAAAAATTAAAATTATATAAAAACTAGTGAGATACTAAAACTTACATTTTCGTAAATTAAAAAATTAAAAGTAGCTTATGATATTAAAATAATACGTGAAATTGTTAAAATAATGTTAAAATAATGGAAGTTAAGCAAAATTTTATAATTTTGTTCATAGTCAGTAAAGCATAATATTGTAAGATTGATTATTCGACCGAGTTTCTTTCCATTTAAAATTTTTTCGAAAGACAGGGTACCATTTACATATCCTGCTCGAACCAATCAAAATCTTCAACGATTTTTTTTCTTCATTCGTAATCAATAAAATTATTTGTAAGATTTTGTTGGATTTGAAATTCCATTTGATTATAAGTTTTGATAAATAATTTTTTTAGCATTGAGAAAGACACTATTAAACAAAATTAAATTGGATTAATTATTATAATATTATAATATGAAAGTTATAGTTTATAAATTTTATATATGTAATATGATATATATATACATGATATATATATATTCATACTATATATATATATATATATATATATGATATAGTATGAAGAAATTTTTCATACACAATGAATTAATTAGAAATTGTATTTAAATTTTATTTTAAGAACTCGGTCGGTTTTGATATATGTTGAACAATGACAGCCTTCTGCAACACTGACAAATTATTTAAATTTGAAAAGCTAAGAATCATTACTTCAAATTTAAAAATGATATTAAATCGGTTTCAATGAAGAAATTGTAAGGCAGTATTAGATTTTTAAGCGTTAATTTAACTCTTCGTTTTTTAAAAATAAAGATAATAAAATTGTAAATCAGTCTTTAAATATTATGTGTAACTGATTTGCAAAATAATTATCATATATTTAATACATTTGAATCATTTAAAATGTCTTTATCAAATAAATTAAATTTTGATGTTTTTAAAATTCAAAGAAACTTGTAATTAAAAATAAAAATAATATAAATTTTAATTTTACGTTACTAAATATTGATTTGTAAAATAATAATATTTAAAACGAAGAGTTAAAATTTATAGAAAAATCAAACGCTAAATTGATTTAATTTTTGTTTATTAGTGAGTTTCTTTAAATGTAATTTGATACGTGCGCGCACGTGCGCATGTAACGAATCTTTATACATGTACGAATAATAGAGAATACGATTTAACTGTCGATTGTTATGCAAAATCATAATTGATATATTTTTCTAAGCAAGAATCGACGATCTTTTCAAAGTTAATACAATTTTTCTAATAGAAAATATTATACGGGGTTATTCCCAAAACTATGCCTCTTCAGACAAATCTATTTGAAGAAATTGCGTTATTTGAAACTTTTTCTACAATCATAACGCTGCATTTGGCTGACTTTTTGATGGGATGCCCGGTATAAATTAATATGAGTTTTTGTTCATTGTCTCTATATTAGAGATATCATTTTAAACTGTCGATATATCTACCCTTCGTAAATTATTTCTGAAAAAAAAAAAATTAAAATAAAAAAAATATTTTTCAAATTAATTTTCGATTATGATTATTTTAATATTTCAATGAATTTTCATTTACAATTTAAAATTAATTTACAATTTTTTTATATATAAAAAAATATCTTTATATTGTAGAATATTTAATTCTTATTAATGATATGATTGAGTAATAACGTGTGTTATTACATTAACAAGATTACGAAGATTTACGAAGGTTAGTTAATTTCGATTTTTCTGATTTTAAAAGTCGATTCGACGGAGTATGTTTGTTGTTGGAAACTGCCACTCAGCGAATCCTACAATGTTTTATATTGCGATTATAACAATGTATAGTGTGACATGAATTAAATTATTAAAGAATTATTTATTATCAACAAATATTAAGAAAATATTATTTCTATCTCCCCTTTAAAACTTTTTTATTAATTGATATAAATACATATTTAAAAATTTTTTTATTTTTGTTAATTTATAATTATTTTATAAATTTAATTATTTATACAAAATTAAATATATAAAATTTATATTTAATTTTAATTATAATTAATGTATCTCTTTCTTATTTACTAAACTTTAGAAAAAAGTTTTTTTTTTAAATTTGAAAGTTATTAACAATTATAAAATTTTAATGTATAATATTGAAAAAATAGATTTTAAAAAATATTTTAATATAATTGTTTAAAATATTTGTTAAAAATGAAATAATTATAATAAAAAAAAAACAAAATAAAAAGATTTTTATATTATATTTAATTTTTTAGATAAATTATAGTTAATTATATAAGAAATAAAAAAAATAAAATTAATAAAATTTATTTAATAAATTAATAGTAAAAGAGCAATAAATTAATAAATAATAATAACAATAGCAAGTAAATATTTACTTACATTTCATTTTCAGGTGTTCTTAAATTTATGAAAATTTCGCTTTGAAGTTTCTTAATTATTTTATAATAAATTAAATTAATTTTAAAAAAGAGATATTTAAAATATTTGTTTTAATATAATTTCCGTTTTTATGATATTTAAAAAATTATAAAAAATTATTTTTTATCATCTTAATTTAATGATTTTTAGAACACACAACAAAATTCTCTGTGTCATTGTGATTTAATATCGATCTCTAACCTTAAAACTTACAAGTTATATTATTGCATAATTAATAAATTTTTATTTACTTATTCTTTATACAAAAAATTTTATAATATTATAGAACTGATGTAAAGAAGTTGAAGCATAAAATATTAACAATGTTTAATATTGTATCATTATTGTCCGAATATTTAAATGTACCTGAGGCTGCAACTCGTCTTTTTTTGTCCATTTTAGTTGGTAAATAGATGCTAATATTTTCAAATATATTTTGTTCTTTTTTTTTCTTACGAATCTTCTATTATTTTTCTCATTTTTATTTTTTTTAATTATATATACTTATATAATTAAACACTATATAAAATACTTTAGTCTTTAATCTTATATTTGCATCATTAATTATATAATTAGTTCTCAATTAATTATGTATTATTATTTAATAATTGTACTTAGTTTATTTCAATTTTTAAGTTTAGAATTAGTTATTTTCATATCATTTTTTAAATGATATATAACATTATTAAAATGTTGATATATAACATTATTAAAATATGAAACATAACATTATTAAAATGATTTGAGAATATATTATTTATCATTCAAAAATTTGAAAGCAATCATATTTTATTTATTTATTTTATTATTATTTATTATTATTTTATTATTATTTTATTTAATAATTATTTATATGAAGTAAGAAATCTTTTATAAATATAAGTATTTATAATAAATACTTATTGATATTGATTTACTTAGTTAAAAGAAAATTTATTATAGATAAAATAGCAAAAATTTATTCAAAGATAATCAATAATAAAAAATGGTTATTTCGAATAAAAATTTGACTTTAACTTAATTATTTAAGATTTTTTATTTAATTAATGTTTTTATGTTAATATATTTTTTTTTATTATTCATCAAGCTTTGGCTATAATGATTTTAATATATGACTTTTGAATATATTATTTTCAAATTCTTTATATTTTTCAAACTTTTGGATGATAGATATATATATTTTATTATTGCACATGCGTGTATAAGATTTTAGTTCCCGCTAATTTAGAAATTACATTTATTCTATCTTTTAAATAACACTTTTTTTCTCTTTTTCTATTATCCTAATCTAATCTATTAATATCCTTTACGCATGTTAATATATTAAGATTCTTGAAAATTGCTTTTGAAAGTTAATTTTCGCAAATGTGCTTCGAATGAAAGTTATTTTTGGTTAGTTTCAACAAAAATATCCTTATAAGATGATCCTTGCAAAAAAATTTCGAAAGCAATTCTCAAAAGTTTTATCTTCAAATATATTTCTTAATTTTTACATTATTAAAAAAGTATTTTTATTTAATACAATTTTTTATATCTCTACATATTTTTAATATATTAATATGATATATTTTCGCTCTTAATCAAGTTTCTTATTTTTATTTTAATATTATTTATATATTATCCATATTTTAACATTATTATTTTAATAAAAATTTTAAAATCATATTAATATTTATAATATTCAGATATTCAATTTATTGCAAGAATTTTTATGTATTCATTTAAAAGTGAATTTTAAAATTATTAAAAAAATGTTAGTGATTTAAAATTTCTTAAATATTAATATTTATAAATGAATTTGCATGAAATGAAACATTTAAAAATATTTCGATAAAGCTTGATATATTTGTTTAATTATGGTATAATTATAATTAAAATTTCAGGATTTCCAATCGCCTTCATTCATAGATATACTTTATATGGAAAATATCCAATTTATCAACATATATTTTTTATAACCTGTGGTGTTTCGATTTGCTTGTGGAATTTTGGTAATTATTTATTTTTAACAAATAGTATTGAATACTAAAATTACCAAACTTGCCAAAATAATATAAATTTCAGATTTTCATTAAAAAGATACAATTTTTTTTAACAAAATTAAATTTAATTTTTACTATATAGAAATATAATATATATATAAAAAATTAAATAAGAAAAATATTTTTTATTTTAATTTTATAAATAAATTTTTTTATCTTGTTTTATTGCGTTGTGATTGAATACTTATTTTTTTAAGAAAATAAATCAAACGCGTAAATTTCAAATTCAAATTCTATTGCAAATTTTTTAATTCTATTTTTTTCTTGATATACATATTTAAATAATTTTTTACTCATTTTTTGAAAGAAATGTATAAATTAATTATTTAATTAATTATGATTACATGATACATTAAGTATAATTTTTAATCGCGAAAAATATATTTTTGAATAATTAGTTAAGGAATAAACTGGTTATAAATATATTATTATTACAGGATTTAATCTATTTCATTCAGCACTAGCAATATATACCACTTATGGCATTTTAAAACATTTTGGTGGTTCTTCTTTGGCAGTTTTTATTATTTTTGTCTTCAACATGATTTATCTTTCATATGGTATGAAGAAATAATATATCTATATATACATATAATATAATAATTCGTATAATTTTAAAAAATTTTAAACAGATTATTATTAAACATATATTAATATAGTTTTAGAATAAAACAATTGAATAGTGTATAGATAATCTATATACTATATATTATATATATAATAGTATAAATATATATATCTATATATATAATTTATTATAATTTCATATAATAATATATTGCTGTTTCACATGAAATTTTGCATATAATAAATATAATAATAAATATATTATTATATTAGAAAATAATAATTGTTTTTATTATTAATAGGATATTATTTTACAAGTACAATTGGTTATGATATAAAATGGACAATGCCACAATGTGTATTAACTTTGCGATTAATTGGTATCGCATTCGATATGTTAGATGGCCAAAAACCCGAAGTACGTAAAGGGCAATAAGTAATATAATTATGATGAAATTCTCTAATTCTTAAATAAATAAACTAAGCTAACAAAACTAGATAACAAAAAGATTAAAATTAAATATAATTACGAAAAATAAAAAACAAAAAAATTGTTTTTTATAAAAAACAACTTTCAGTAATGAAATTATCCGTTTCAGGAAACATTATCCCAGCAACAAAAACAAGTGGCCTTAAAAAATCATCCAACGTTTTTGGAGATTGCAGCATTTTCATATTTTCCAGCGTCAGTTATCGTTGGGCCACAATTTAACATGAAAAGATATTTAGATTTTGTACAAGGACAATATACATCGATTAGTACGGATGGTGTAAGTTATATTAAAATATTAATTAAATATTAGAAAAGATTGGAAAAAAATCGAAAAAACCCAATACATTTCTCTATAGTAAAATATAATATAAATTAAAAAAAAAGTAATTTAATTTTTTTATTTTAGAATTTTATAGTACAAGAAATTGAAATTCGTAATTCTATCATTCCTGGTATTTTTCAAATGTTTCTTGGAATCGTATATGTGATACTTCATCAATTAGGAACTTGGTACATACCTCATGAATATATTTTAAGTATGGAATTTCAACAGCAACGCTTTTTGAAACGTATTTTTATTATTGGTTTGTGGGGTCACGTCAATCTATATAAATATGTTTGTTGCTGGTTATTGGCTGAAGGGGTAAGAATACAAATATATAAAAATATATTATTATTTATACATAATCATATGCATAAATACATATCATTTATTTTTTTTATTTAGATATGTTATGATTATAGCATTATATATATGTATATATATTCTTCCTTATATCACTATGTATATATAGTATTTATATGAATATAAATTAAATACATTTTTTTTTAATTCAATTTATTAATTTGTTAATATATTAGAATTTATTAACGAAATATTTATTTATTTCGTTATTTATTTGGTTTTAAAAATTAAATATATCTAATAAAAAATATTTTTTATTTCAGGTTTGTACAATATTTGGTTTATCTTATAATGGAAGAGATGAAAAAGGTCGTCCTCTTTGGAATGGTTGTACAAATATTAATGTGTTAAAATTTGAAACAGCAACTAAATTTAAACATTATATTGTGGCATTTAATATAAGTACTAATAATTGGTGTGCAGAATATATTTACAAACGATTGAAAGTTCTCGGATCAGTAACCTGTAGCCAAATTTTGACATTACTTTTTCTTGCGGTATGGCATGGATTTCATTCAGGATATTATTTTTGCTTTTTCCTTGAATTTATCATCATGTATGCTGAAAGAGATGTAAGTATAACAATTTTATTTTTTTATATAATTTAATATAATATAAATTAATCAATTATTTATTTAAACGATAATCAATGAATCATTATTTAATTGTTTAGTTAATAATTTCATATTTTAATATTTATTCTTATATTATCTGTATTAATTTTTGTAGTTAACCAAAATATTGAAGAAGCAAGAGAAATTACAGAAATTATTAGAAAATCGTCTAGAACTTAGAATTCTTGTATGGATTTTTTTGCGTTTACACACGTTGGCTTTAATGGGTTATTGTCTTGTTTGTTTTACATTTTTATCATACCCTATTTATTTTCAAGTTTATTCTTCCTTATATCACTATGGTCTTCTAGTATATTTAATTTATTCTTTTATATCTATATCAATCAAATTTTTTTTTTTTAAGAAACACTTAAAACAACTTGAATAGTAATTCTGAATAAATATATTTTTTTTATTGATATTGAAAACAAGTAAATACATGATAAGATAAAAAAAATAGTGAAAAATATTCGATTTCAAATATTAGAATTTCATATTGTTAAAATATGTCAGAACTATTTATATATTTTTGAAAAGACAATTAGAGTAATAAAATATACAATAAATTTTTTACAAATGATAGAAAGCTATACGTACAAATGAGAAAAAATTTATTATGTTTAATTATTTTAAAAAAGAAAATAATTTTTATTATTTACTGATTTCTGATTTTTTTTTAAGAATAATTATTTAAATTTAATTAAAAATTTATTAAACAAAAGTTTAATAAGTTTTATTAATCCAAAGCATAAATAATTTTATGATATAAAAAGAAATTGAATTTAAATATATAATTTTAAGTATTTTAAAAAATTATATTAAAAAAATATTTGTGATTTATACTTAATTAATATTAGTGACCAAAAAATTTTTAATGCTTATTATTTAATGCATAATTGATATAACTTAAATTTAATTTTGATATTACATATTAAAATATATAATATAAAAAATAATTATTTTTGATTAAAAACATATGCTCATTTTTTTAAATATTACTTAAGCGATAAAGAATATTTTTATCAAATTTTATTTAATAATATATGAAGAATTTTAGGAATAAAAGGGAGGATGAAAAATATCATCACTATAAAAATTAAACAAATGAATGTTTTTAATAATTTAAACAAGTTATTGAAATTTATAAATTTGTTTTGATTAAATTACATTTCAATCGAAATTACATTTAATTTGATATGTGTCACTATATACTGTACATATCTTTCTATTCTTATTAAATATATATATTTATATATTTATAAGTTTATAGTGCCAAAATAAGTTAAAAAATATACGAATAATATTGATATATATTATTGATATATATTATGATATATATATGCTCGAAATAATTGATTTATAGTTGAAATATCATTCAAATACTATTCAAGAAATCGAAAAATGCATTGCATATTTAATAATTTTCATGTTACTGTTATCGTAAAACAAGTAATGAATCAAGTGTGTATTATAGTGATTGATATATTCATGACTTGAACTTAAAATTGAGAGCTTAAAATTAAGATAATATAATAGGAAATTTGAATTGATTAAAAAATTGTATAAAATATGATATACTTAAAATCAAATTATTTATTTAAAGACAATAGTATCTTTAAATTTTTTTTTTTGCATAATACTGAATCGCATAAAAATAAGTTTAATTATAAATACATTTGAGAAAAAGATAAACATTAGATTGAGTAATAAATTCTTTCACTTATGAAGAATATTCTAATGAGGAACACATTATTTCGAGATTTAAATTTAATTATTTCAAATGATTGTTAATACATCTTTAAATTAGATATAAATATAATAGAATCTCTATTAATAGAATTTCAACTAATATAGAAATAAGATTTTTGGATAAATTATTCTATAATTATATATTCGATATTATTTACAAAATAATATTATTTACAATTAATGATGAGGAATAAAATGAGAAATAAATAAAGATTGATGACGTAATACTTATAAGAATTAAAAAATGGTACTGAAATAAAATGATTATACGTTAGATAGTAATTAAAATAGAAAAAAAATGATCTGACAGTTGAAATGATTAATTACAAAAACAAAAAATTATCTTTAACATTAAAAAAAAAATCATTTAAAGAAAAATTATTAATTCATTAACTTAAAAAAATATTTTTTATAGAATTGAAAAATTTTTTATTAGACAATCAAATAGTTATTATCAATAAATATTACTTGCAATTAAATTGCCAAAAGACAATAATAAAAAACGAATATTATAAAAAATAAATTATTCTTTATTAAAATAGTGTTAACATTTAGTCAAAAGTTGTCTTTTGAATTTATTTAAAATTCTACGATAATTTATTAATATAAAATTATTTGAAAAAAAAAAGATATGAAGATACATATCTAAAACTATTTGATAATGAAAAAGAAAGTTTTATAGTTATAGAATAATAATAAATGTATAAATCGTAAAATATAATGAAATCAAAATATATATATATTATATAATTAATTAAATACGATTTTTTATAAAAATAAAAATATTCAACTATTGTAAATGTTAAATAATTTAAAAATGGACTTACTACTCAATTTAATGTATCAAAATATATAAATACTTAAGTAAATATGTATTTATATTCAAAGAAAGTAGCATAAAATATTTAAATGAATTTTATTTAAAGTTTAATTGTTCAAAAAAAATCTCTGTAAATGTATGAAATATTTTTATAGGTTATTCGAGCCAAATAATAATTTTTATAAAAAATTTTTAATATTAAAATAGATTTTCCTATATATATATGAATTATTAGTTTTGAAACTAATAGTCAATCTATTTACGTAATTTATAAATGTACTTATATAATAATAAAATAATTTTTTGATATATTTGTATATCCAGAATTATATAAACATATTCTATTTCAAGTTTTTTCAAATTTAAATTGAATTAAATTTTTATATGTTACCCAATTTTTTTGTTATTTAGTTTTATAAGAAATGATGTAATTATAATCTAATGCGCGTACATGTACTGAAGTTTTTCAGATTGTAATTTTTACGGACATATAAAAATAATAAAATAAAAATTTTTACAAAAGTACAAATAGTTTTATTAAAATATACATTTGTTATGAACATCTTGCATTTGCATTAATTAGAAATTCCCAAACTCTTTCTAAAAAAAACCTGATAATCCTTTAAACATATCTCTTAAACAATATTGGTATTTGCATGAAAGACATTTTAAATTGACTAATAATTCAAATAGCTAATATAAGAAAAACAGTAACAATATGGAAAAAGTAGTGTACATAAATTTCATGCATTGAATTTATGTTTAATGATATTGTAAAGAAAAATCTCTTTAATCTCGGATATTTGCAAAAATAAATAAATGCATCATTTAAATTTAATTGAAAACTCTACAAAAAATTTATAATTGTATTCTTTTCAGTTTGATGATTAAATTACTGAAAATTTCATAGATGAGAAATATTTTTGTCGAGGAAATATTTCTCTAAATTCGCGTGTTTCGAGTATTTATTTCATAGGAGATTTATAGACCATTTGTAATAAAATTATTTAATAAGGTCCGCCAGGGCTTGATGGTGGAGCTCCATAGTTATCCGAAGGGGGCGATTGTGCTGGAGGTCCATATTCCACATTTTGAGATTCTTTCTGTAATGTAAGGAAATAATTGAGCTTATTTCGTCAAATAATGATTAAGTAAAGTATTAAAACAAATTATGAAATTATAGAGGTGAATTCAAAAATGTATAAAAAAAAAAAAAAAAGAATAAAAGACAGTTTTATTATAAAATGAATAAAAATAATTAAAATCGCGTGAAATGGTTCATTCTATGAGTAATAACACAATTTACCTGTGTCTTGTATCGAATGAAATAGACTTCCGGTTTGCTAGGTTGCGTTGGTGCTTGAGTGGGGAGAACCACTTCTGGCGCTTCCTCCGGTTTTTTCACCAGAACGTAGATTAAAGTTTTTTCTTCGTCTTGAGGTGGCAATGGTGGTAGAGCCGGTGCCGTTGGCGTTGGTGGAGTCGGCGCTTTTATGAACACGATCTTGTAATGTTTCTGCGGTGGTGCCGCGGGTGGTATATATTTCGGCGGTTTGTATTCCGGAGCTTCTGGAGGTGGCACGTGGACGTAAACATGTTTGTGGACGATGGGTTGTTGCTGGGGCGGCCCATACCGATCTGGAAGCGACGGGGGACCATAATTACCGGATGACAAACTGCCGCCATTCGATGGGGGGAAATAAGAGCTGGGTGGTTCCGGTGCTGGTTTCGAATATACCCTCGTTGTACAAGCTATCAATAATAGCGTGGTCTGAAAACATTTTAAATAATTAATCGATTTATATTGTTGAAAAAAATTCAGTAGTATGGAAACACCAAGTATCGAAACGATTCTCTTTCCTTGTTTTTACAACGTATGTACGTTTCACTGTTACATTAGATACATCGTTAGATAATTTTCAACATTTACATTTTCAAGAGAACACAGGAAAGACATTAACATTGTTTCAAACCTGTTTTAAATAGACTAGGCATTGCACTCGCTTTCGATTTCGTACGCAACAGCGTTGACACTGATTATCACTTTTCCTTCTCTTACATATTATTATTATTAATTATTCAAATTAAGAAATCTTACATGATTCAATTAAGCACAGGATGCGTTAAAATCTGATACAGAAGCGTAAACGTAACATCTTCTATATTTATCAAGAGATGAAAGAAAAATGTATTCCAATAAGCGTGTCAAATTGTAAATTAACATCGTATCCTTTCATTTGATTTATATATATACATATGTGTGCATACCAAGTGATTTGTGATTTCGGAATATATTAATAAATTTCCTTAATTAATTCGAGAAAAAGAAAAAGAAGAAGAAGAATTAATTCGAAGTTTCAAATTAATTTTTTCTCACCGTTGAAATTAAAAATTCACACTCTAATAAATGAAAATAAATTCAGTACGAAATATTTAATATATCAACTAATATATCTGCTGGCCACGATCAGATAACAATAAAGTAATGTAAATGCTTTAATTTTATTTTTATAAATTGATAACAAATAATTTTTTTAAATATCGATGAACTTTTAAAGGAATGAAGAGAGAGAGAGAGAGAGAGAGAGAGAGAGAGAACAAAGAGACGATGCAATTAAGATATTACTAATTATTTCCAGTGAATAGATATGAAAAAATAAGTAGCACCTTTTACTTTTACTCTCTTAGCTTTCCCCTTTCCCCAGTTTCCTCGCTCTGTTTTTTCCTCTCTTTTAAGGGAGAATTTACAGTATTGTTTCTTCAAAGAAAGTGTAACTATCTGTTTATTGGCTTGATTACGAAACTGATTGAATAATTTATTCGGTAGCAATTCGAATTTTATATATAGTTTTTATAATTAAAATAACTGCTAAATTATAAATTACGATGTGTTTTTTTTTTCAAACAATTAATTAATTATCATACAAATGATATTTTACTTGGATCTTTTAATTAACTTTATATTTTTTATCATTTTATTCCATTCTTTACGCGATATTAAATGAATAAAAATGAGTAAACGTGCTTTGCTTTCTAATTTTATTATTCTTTAATTATTACGTTTTCATCGTAGAAAGATACTATTTAAAGAAAAAATAAAGTTGATCTTCATATATCACATTGATTAACAAAGAAATAATTCTGAAAGTAATATATATTAAACACGTTCATATAATAGAATTTCCACGTCATTCACCGTCTTTATATTAATCCTTATTTTGCCACTATTTAAAGGAACATTAGTTTGTGAATGGAATGAAGTTAAAATTAAAATCACGCGTAGATACTCCGCTGACGCAGTTTCCACGAATTTTAGTTTCCTCGTTGCATCCACAGGATGGTGAGGCCAGCCTTACGTAAGCGTTACAATTTAACACGCTAGAAAATTGGTTGCGAAAGCAACGTTCCCTGCGTTTCTAGCACGTGTAAGTACATGTATATACGAATTGGGTTGTACTTAGTCAGATGCACTCGGAATACACGATTGACTTTCTTCGTGAAAACAATTCGGTTACTTTCGAATTGAACGGTGGACCATCGTCGTTAATTTCCTCTCCTTATTTGTTCTTCGAGATACACGTGGGTACGTGTGTTCGATGTCGATGAACTTTTTCTTCCGTTTAAATTTCACTGATCGAAATAAATGAGAAAAGTATAATTATTTATAAAGATGCACCATAATTTATAATGTAACCGTAAAATTAAGTATTTTACCTTAATGAGCTTCATAATATACGTTTTTTTTTTTATAAAGATAATTTAAGAGTTCGTTTTTTTTTTCATAGTATTATTTAAAAATTATCTAGATTTCTCAATTTTATTATTTTATTTTATTTTATTTTTTTTTTTGAATTGATCTATTAATTTTTTTTTATTTTTCTCATAAATGTTTACATAACATTTTAAAATAATTATAATCTTTATTCTTTGTTCGTTTTATATATGAGTATATTGAGATAAGAATCTATATATAACGAAAGTTTTAAAAATTGATGATTTAATAAAAATATTATTACATTTGATGAATATCATATCGTATTCATCATAAAAAATACAATGAAATCATTTTATACATATGAAATTGTTCTCATTAGAAATGAGTTAAAAAATTTAATCAAAGTTTTTAATCAAAGAAAAGTTGAAGAAATCGTTACCTCGAAATAATAAATTTCTTTCAGCGTTTTCGAATAAATTCTCATATTAGTATATTTAGAGCGGAAAATGAAGTTGGGTGTTGAGTTAAATAGCATATTTTTTTGCTCGATTTCCTTTGAGTCTATAAACGCAATAATAAACAGACTTTTCACCTTTAAGCCAAAACCATTTATATTTAATTTCATTACTTTAAAAATAAAAAAAAATTTTTAAATAAACGCAATTTTTCAATAAAAAAAAAGATTCAGATTTTTAAATTTAACGAATACATATTAAAATAAAGATATCAATTATATTCAAATCTCGAATAAATCATACCTACGTAGAAAGCAAAGCGGTAGTGAACAAATTCCGGAAGAGATTGAATCATCTGAATAGTTCAACAAGAACGAATCACTGATTCCGAAAGAATGAGTTACAAATAATGATTAAAGGTATATCTATTGTCTTTTATCTCAGCACAAGTTACGAAACAAATTTGTTCGAAGAATTTGTAGAAACTAGATCTTTCATTGTATCCACTGAAAATTCATCCAATAAATTATCGACGTGCGAAATTTTGAATGTTTAAATTATATTAGGAGGCATGTGAATTAAAAACTTGATGTGAATAAAATTCACAGTAATGATTAATATATTACACAATTTTCATAGAATATAATAAAGGATTCGATAATCATTTGTTATTTGTTATTTAATCATCAAAGCGAACCTAGAAAAAATACGCTTAATCCTAGAGGAAAAATCTTTACTTCTAATTGAACTCCATATTAGGTCTTCGACCAATAGCAATTGATGTCAATTAACGATAATAACGAGAAGTTAGGAGAAACACGACGAGAAGGAATCGAACAACTCACCAGGTGGAGCAACATGGTTGAATTTCGCGGCGACCGAGAGGTAGATGTCGCAAAGGAGAACGTCTTTCACCGACGATCTTTCACAGTTGTGTCGGCTGGATCGACACATTCGGACTTTTATACGAGCTCGAAGAGGGGAAAAGGAACATCCTCGATCCTCTTTCTTCGCTTATTCGATCATCGATCGGACGATCTTCGTTCAGGGGGCTACGTAACCCTGATCTTATTAACGGCATCCCTAGATTTTTCGTCTAGAATGGAAGCGAAATTTATAGCGGGAATTGGTGCTATTCAAGCGTCACAATCGAAAGCGTAAACAAAGGATCCGTTTCATTCGTCTATTTTAGTTTAATTAATTTAATATAAACGCTTTCGCGTTTCGCTTAGATCATTATCGAATTGTATCGAGTTGTAGTTGAGATTCTATGGACGATATAATTTATTACTTTCGTTTTTCGATATATTCGTTTTTGTTAAATTAATCGAATAAGGTAGGTCTGTCGTATGCCAATTGAAATTCAGATATGCGAAACAATTTAGTTTCAAGACGTAAACCTTTGAATTCGAAAACAGTTAAAATTTCGTTCGAATGAAAGTAAGAAAAGTCAATGTATAAAATTAGCAAATGTATTTATATAGGACCGAACATTTAAAGGAAAGTTGACATTTAAATGGCAACGAAATGTATATTACAAATTAGTATTTTCTAACTATATATATACATATATATGTATATTCTAATCTTTCTTCCTATATCGTGATCATATTTTCAATGCATTTTTGACAGATTACAAATCAAACTGTTTCGAATTGTTTTTACAATCAATCATCTCGTTACAATCCAGTGCATCTTTGTAAAGGATCACGATCCACGGATCGAAAGATCATCGTACCGATAGAAACGTACGCATAGATCGTTCCAAGAGATTACGTCAAATCAGTCTGATTACACGAAAGCGTATTGAGCAAACGAGCACGGATGCGCAGCGGCTCGTACGTCGTCGATCGTAAAAAGATTTATATGAAATTTGGTGAGTCGGATGAGTGGATCGGGCGACGATTCGAATCTGGTTAGGTTACGTCGCAAGAACGTCCTTGATATCGGCCTAAATTCCTGTGGGCGCATTCAAGCATTTTCTCCGTAACGTAATTCCAGAGGCAAAAGAGGAGAAGACGAGCGAAAGTGTGTGGTGCCGGGTATGGTGGCCCTCACGGTGAAAGTCAAACTAATTACGAGACAGGCACGGGCGCACGTAAGCTGGTCGAAGAGCCGGCGTTGCAAAACAATCCTCTTCGCTACGAATATTAACCCGGAACACCTGCCGCTTTCCACTCCCGAATCGAACTCCCTTCCTCACTCTCCAGGAACGACACTGGTTCGAGATTCTTTTGCTCTTTCGCCTTGACCCTCTCGTCGAAATCCAAGTATCCAATAATATCCAATAACCTTTCATCTTTTTTCTTTTTTTCTCCTAAAATAAATTTTAAAACTAATTTGTATCTTTTAACAGAAAATACATATTGGAAAATATTTAATCTTTTTTTTTTTTCTTTTACTCTTATGTGTCTTTTTTAAGTTTTCATGGTTAAGGTTAATGGAACTAAATTTACCGGTTTAGTTCAATTGAGTTCCGAACAGATGTCGTGTTTTTTGTCAACATTTCGCAAACATTCTACATATTACATTCTACACACACGTTCTACAGTGGCTACAGATTTTACGTTTCATCATGATATCAACTTCTCAACCAGTAATGTAAATATCATTAGGTCGTAATTGATCTTTAAGAATGTATATACATGTTGACTTAAATACTTATATTCTGTTTTGCATATCGACAGTTACTTATGACGTAAGAATTAATATTAATCGTGAGTTTTAATATCGTAAAATTTTATAGATAAAAAATATTGAAATATACTTGTGAAAACAGGAATTTACGAAATAAATACGTGTATATATATTGTATTATTATTTGCAAAGAAGTGAAAATAGATTAACATATCGATGCAAATACGTGTTAAATAGAAAGATCAAAGAAGATTTATTAGTTACAGGGAACAGCGTTAATACATTGATTATGTCAAGCATTTTAACGCCACTCGACACTAATCGATTACTTCATATTTCGATCATTTCATTGTTTAATGCATTATTTTTCGATATATTTATATAATCGTAGATATTAGCATTAATTAAACAAAATCTTTAAAATTCAATACTTTGAAAGAACAAAAGAACGATTTGAAAATCGTTTACATTTAAATTTAAAAATAGTATGAATTTATTCGAGATTATATCACAGAAGAAATCTCTGAAGATATCTATTTTTCCGTTACATGAATCGTCATTTTTTTGTACAAACATACGATAAAGTACGTATTCCTATATCGAATTATATTAACAAGAAATGCTAGATCTAAGGTAATAAATAAAGTGGTAAATAAAACATGGAGAAAAAGGATGATGAGAAAAAGGATGAGGATCCACGGTTTGAATATATGTTTAATTATCTTACTCATTCGAGAAAATTAAAAATCGACAGATGGGCGAAAATGTTGGCACATGCAGAATATAAGGTAATTTCCACCTTATATGTTTTAGCTGGAAAAACATTTTACATTATTACATACCTTTCAATTTCTTTGATCACATATCTATTATATAAGAGATTTAAGATTCTTTCTTACAAATTTTTTATTTCGATTTTCATTTCTGATTTCATTTCTTTTCATTTTTATTAGATATCTAAAAGATCATAGATAATAAATCTAGTACCATTACAAATAATCTCGTAAAGGAAATGTCAATTTGACTTCAATTACGCGATCGTACTAGTAAAGACGGAATTCTTCGTTATCCAATCGTTAATAAATCTTTGATTTCGTTATAATTTATATGATACTCATCGGTGAGAAAGAATGCTTGTTAAAAAATTTGACGTATCTTCTTAAAAACATTTTCTGCTCATTGCATGTTACATAAATAAGATAGATTTATCAAAAGAGGATGTTATGAAGTTAATTAAATAGAAAATTTTTTCTATTTACTCGCAACTTCGTTGATCATTCTCGTGTGAGAATTGTCATTTCATTTTTTAAAATTTACTCATTATTTTTTCGAAATACATCGCGCGAAGAACATTGTGAATAGCGTGACCATTATGTTACTTGTCCAACGATTTCTATAGAGATAATCGTTGAAAGAAAGAGATTTTAAAAATGAATTTCTTTTGTTCGTTTTAATAATGATCGAATTATTCAACTTTCGTGTTCAGGATTTAATTATAAAGTTCTTAACCACCCCATCGGAGATGGTGCTCGTGTTGCAATTGACACCCGCCAATGTGTTGATACCTCTACTCGAAATAACGCAAGCCAAGAGAAAGCAGACGTACTTCTTGAAGAGGAAACCCCAAGTGATCACGGAAGCTAATTACAAGCAAATGTTGATACCGGGTGACATGGCGCCGAATCCGATCGAGGAATTAGCCGTGCTCGTCGAGCAGGTTCTCAAACATTTTTCTTACATTCCATTTCGAAAATTTTTATTTCATTTTCTTCCAATTGCAGGCATACGTACCTATGTTATCTAATCCAAAAAATCATATTGGTTGGCCAGAAGTAGTTCGTAAAGATGTCAAGAAGCAAGTATACAATCTTCGAACTTTAATATGGCAGGTAATAAAATATATAAGTATTAATTTAATACCTCAAGCGAATTGAAATGAAATGTATGAAACAAAATTTAGGTAAGAGGAAAAATAACGGGAAAAACTCTGTTACCAATGCCGATGGATATCGAAGAAATTCTAGATCCAAAATTTTATACTGACGTAGACATATCTAAACAACTTAAAGTAAAAAGTAATATAGAAGAAATTGTGGTAAAATGGGCGACTCAGATTAATGAGATTCTTAACGAAGAGTTTAAATTCTCGAAAAATGGAAGATTTCTTGTATCCGGTAATCATTTCATCATTTTTCAAATATCAACGCTATTTTTTTAATAACAATTATTCTTCTATTTCATTTAGAATTGGATTATTGGAGTATGAGGTTAAAGAATATGGAATCCATCTATTTTCAACTTAAAGATCCAAAGGTGAAACAGATAGATTTAGTTTTAGAGAAAACGCAAAGTCCTTACTCGCAATATTTCAAAAATTTAGTAAACAACGTCACTGCGGGTAAACGAAAAATTGTATTTAGTGAAAGAAAATTATGATCGATATTTTCTATATTTTAAATAAGTTTTACTCGAATTTTTTTAGCATTATTAGAAACTAGAGATATCAATCTTTATTTAAAGCCTTTAGAGTCTTATTTCCAAGAAATCGAAACGCTTGAATTTAAAGATATATTGCCAAAGGTAAAAATATTGCTGCACTGTGTTTGCTTAATGTGGGCTAATTCGAGATTCTATACTCTCGAAAGAATTATTGCTCTGTTACGAGAAATTTCAAATTTGATCATTTCTCAGGTATATTATTTAATTCCTGTATTATAAATATAGTATTGTAATATCTTATTATTATATTAAATTGAAAACTAATATTTACATCTTTATAGGCAATAAAATATATAAATCCATCAACTTTATTCGAAGGAGATATTGATGATAATAAAATGAAGATTGCTGAAGTATTACCATATCTTACTAGTTATCAAGAAATATTTCGATCATATAAAGAACGGATAGATATGTATTTCAGATCATCAGAGACTGTTCCTTGGAATTTTCACGAGAAATTAGTCCTCGAAAGAATTCATACGTTTGAGAAGAGACTTAAAGAAATCGAGGTTTATTAAAAAATAATTATGTATATATATATAGTTTGTTTTATTTAAGTCTTGGCAATATCAATCTTGATTCAATTTTTGTTTCTAATATGAATTATGGGTTATTTTGTATACGTGACAAATTTTATATATATTAATTTTTCAAATGTATACATATGTAATTACGATAATTTTTTATTACAGTTGTTATTTGACACAGTACAAGATTATTTGAAACTAGAGAGGATAGAAATTGCTGGTTTGAAAGGAAAATCATTGCTTATTATGGTTGAAACCATTTACGAAGAATTTCTTAAGTTGTATCAACATTTTGGAGAATTGCCTTATGAGGTTTTAACGCCCGAGGAAGAACAATTTAGTGAAGATTTGAAAAAATTTTTCAAAGAAGTAAGTTATCCTTTCTTAAAAATTGA